TAAAATTTATGTGATATATATCCTATGCATGTGCTGTTATATTTAAAGATGCAAGTTCCTGTCAAGCCAACATGAGGTCATCAGCCAAATAATTTTATAACTAAAAGTTATGTAATATGTATTCTATGTACACTGAAAGATGCAAAAACAAAACGGGAATTTCATATGACTGTTATGCTATACTGCTATGATTTTTTTTTTTTTTTCAGAACTGGGGATTGAACTCAGGCCCTTGAGTTTGCCAGGGAAGCACTTATTCTACTGAGCCATCTCCCCGGCCCCTAAAATGTCAATGTTTGGCCAATATTTTTTTGTTGTTGTTTTTGTGTTTGGCGGAACCAGGGATTGAACTCAGGTCCTTGCCTTTGTGAGAGAAGTGCTTATTCTACTGAGCCACCTCCCTGGCCCATATGTATGACTACTGATGCCAAATGATCTCTACAAAATTATATAACTGTTGTCCATTAACATTCTACGGGGGGGGGGGGCCTGGTGAGATGGCTCAGTGGTCTGCAGCACCTACTTAGAACAAGCTTAGCAAAGCACAGGGACCACGGTTCAATCCCCCAGCACCACATGCCAGCCAGCCCCGCCCCCTGGTGGGCTGAGCTGGCCACACACACACACACACACACACACACACAAATAAATTAAAAAAAAAAATCCTACAGGGATTTAACTGCTAAAATGCCCATAGTTGATAAGAAATAATAGTTCCCTGGTTACACTTTATATTTCATGGTACTTGATACTCAGATAAAATTCTAATAATCAAGTGTATTGCTCTAAACTATGTATACTGATGTAGACCCAGATTCTCTTAAGGCACCAATTACTATTAATTCCTATTTTATATTCTTATCTGTTCCTGGTGTTCATGCCAAACTAAAAACAACAAATCTCGGCCCTCAAACTCCACAGAAAATGTACTTAATCTAACTTTCCGTGTCTTCAATAATAGAGATCAAAATTAACTATATATACTGCCAACTTTTGGCTGTGCCACTCCGGACTCCCATCAAAGCAGGACCTTGACAAGGTAATGCTGAGCCTAAACAATGCTGCCACCCAAGCCAAGTGTGGTGAAGGACACTGGGAATGAGCCTGCTCCAGCCTGCAGCCATCACTAGGACATCTACAAGACTGAGGGTCACTGGAAATGTGACTGCCCTGTCTGCCAGAGAGCAGGTAAGTCATCCAATTCCCTGCCCTCCCAGGAAACCTCCTTACGGCCAGATCCATATACTTGAGCTGCTTGGTCTTGCCGCTGAAGAGCAACAACGGAGCTTGGGTTCCATGGCTAACATCGAGGCACTTTTGTCGAGTCCCAAGTCTCACTGGATATCTCAGGTAAAAAAGCTCTTTTCTTGCTGACACGGAGATCACATATAGTGTTCTTCCTGAGTTCTAAAATCATTATATTAGCTCTAGCCTCCATAGTGGGTGTTGATGGCCAACCTACATGACCCCTTCAGACAGGTCCATTCCATGCTAACTTCAGACCCTGTTCTTCACTCTTAATTTCCTTGTGATCCCAACATGTCCCATACCTCTCATGGGGAGAGACCTCCTCCAAAAACTCCACTTCTCTCTCACCTCTCCCTCCACAGTATACATCCTACAAACCCAACTTCAGTGTTCAGCTAGCTCCTCCCTCCCTCTTCCCTTGTCAACCATATGCTCTGAGACACTTACAGTCCCACTCATGCCACACATGCTGTTCCTAGACTAGTGTGCCTCAGCGATCCCACAGTGTTTCTGTACATTCCCCAATACCCAATAGCCCCCAAACAGCAAGAGACTCAAGCCCATCATTCTCCACCTCCTTACCAATAGTTTTCTTAAAAGTATCCACTTGCTATATAATACCCTCATTCTTCCTGTACTCAAACCCAATGACCTCTTTGCCTTCTCATAGACTGATCCAGACACTCCGATCTCAACAGCTCACATACAGTCCTACCTCAAGGGTTCAGAGATCATCTTCACTTCTTTAGCCAACCTCTTGCTGCTGATCTTGAGACCTTTGACCTCTAGCCCAGCCACGCCTTCAATATATCGATGACCTCTTCCTTTGCTCCCCCTCTCATACCCTGGCCCTAAGACAAACAGCTACTTTTCTCAATTTTCTGTCAGGACCAGCTTATACAGTCTTTCCCTCCAAAGCTCAGATAGCTTCACCAAAAGTCAAGTATCTAAGACCCTCACTCCCACTACTCATGCAATCACTGCCCACCGCAAAATAACAGGTTTTATCCTTCCTTGGTTTAGCCATCTTCTTTCATCTCTGGGTTCCCAATTTTGCTTCCCTAGCAGAGCCCCTATATAGAGCATCAAAGGTTCCTTGTGAGAACCCCTAGACCCGACTACTCTTATATATCTCCCCTTTTGCAAGCTACAACAAGCCCTCCTGAGGGCCCCAGCTCTCTTTACCCAAACCAACTCAGCCCTTTACCCTATGTACTTCTTTTCAAGGTCACAATACAGTGAGCATTTTAGGACATAAAAAGAGACCATCTTTTTAGGCAGTAGCCTACCTTTCTAAACAACTATAGACAATACAGTTGGTAGATAGACTCCATGTCTCCACACAAACACATAAGAGACAATAATTTGACTTTAACAAAATACAAATGTGCTCCAGTACTACAGATGGCGCTGACTCCCTTTCCTCACATTGATGCCAAAAAGCTAAAGATCGATACTCCTCCTCTTCAACATGGTCATGGTAAAATGACACAGATTATAGACACCCGCTCTTGCTTCCCCTCCAGTGTCCTTTAATCATGATGACATGTACTCATAATGTGCTGTCTTTTTAAACTTTTTTCAAGGTTTCTTCAGTATACAATGTGAGCCGTCACTAACTATAAACTTCTAGTCCTAGCTGAGACTCCTGGCACTGCCTTCTACATGGGCGTGAACCACCATCCTGTCAACTCCCCTCACCCTCAAGACGACGGCCAAGTTCAGCAGGAAGCTGTCTAAGAGACACATCGCCCTCTTTATAACAACGAAAAGATGGGAATGATAGGTTATGGCCCTAGTAAGAATTGTTGAATTATTACGATGGTCGTCTGATATAGCTGAAGCCCTTAAAACGACAGCTCATCTTCCCAGGGACCACTTAGTCCTCCTTCCCCACTCCAGCCCTGGGTACAACTGCCTTTGACCTTTCCCGCCCACACAAGGGAGCCTCCAATTAGCTCCTTACACTAAATCCGCCCCTCAAGCTCCGCCCCAGGCAAAACTTCATGAAGTCTCAGGCTCCCTGTCTCAGGTCGGAGGATCCGCCCATCTCCTACTCTCGTCCCCTCCTGTGTTTAGAGTCAATAAAGGCTTTCCCACCCCCATTTCTGCTTCTCTGCTGCACTGTCACCACTGCCCCCATCGCTGCTGCCTCTGAAACCTAACAAAAACCATGAGGTGAGGTGGATCTAAGGTGGAAAACATGGAAACTCGTACATGAGGTGGGACAAAACTAGGGTCACCCAATAAGATTATAAGTACAATTGCTCAAGTTAAATCAGGATCAAAAGGGGAAGGAGGGGCAGGGAGGTAGCTCAGCAGCATGAGTGTCTGCCTAGCAAGTTCAAGGTTCCGAGTTTGATTCCTGGCACCACGCAAAAAGGGGGAGGATGAGTCACAAAAAAAGAGGAAGGAGTCACTTAACATGTTGCAATTAATAAAACAGAGGCTCTTCTTGTTGGGGGATGGCTTGATGACTCTTCCTGGCTTTTTCAAGGTGATAAAAACCTATTTAGAATATCAATCCCTGATGCCCATCCCCAGGGAGGTATGTGGCTGTATTTGTTCAATTTTTTTTTGTCTTTTTTTTGGTGGAACCAGGGATTGAACTCAGGTCCTGGCGCTTGCCAGGCAAGCGCTTAGTCTACTGAGCCATCTCCCCAGTCCCAATTTTTTGTCTGGAGTTCTGGCCACAGCAGGACTATGTCTCTCCTATGTAATGGGTCAATTCACATTTTAGGTTTTTTTTTTTTTTTTTGGTTCCTCGAATGCCTTCAGGGCACTTTTGGCCAGCGGGAGAGTTGTGAGGTTCGAACTCCAGCAACCTGAGGCTGACAGCATTGTGGAAGCAGCCACTTAAAGGACTGAGCTAGGGCCAGGCCCCCACATTTTAGACTATAAATGTAAATCTTGTGTTTTCTGTTGTGTAAAAATGTATACTCACCACTGTTCTAAGTTGTTTAGTAACTAGTGGCTGTTACTCGTTGTTTGCTAGATAAAATTCCTACCTAACCAATCCTTGTTAACAAAGTTAGATTACAGAGATGACTTCATAAGGAAACTAAATGAGATTTAACTTCTTGTAACCTCGGGCTATGCAAGGCTGCCTACTGGGTACTCAGGTGCAAGATAACCAGAAACTAAAAGCCCCAGGAAACTTGGTTTGGGTAGCGGTCACAATGACCCTGAAAGCATGGTTGTGTGTCAATGATTTTATTTACCAAACAGAACGTGGTTTCATGTTTTAAAAGGCCCCTGCTTCCTGGGCTAGCTTCCTTTGGGTCCTCTCCTGCGTGAGAGCTGATGGGGGCCCTGAGCTCAGGAATAAAGGGCTTTCCAAATTCCAATCTGGCTGATCTGGTTCCTATACTGAGTGACCCGTGACACCCCGCAGCTGCAAGGTACCTTGTGTTCCACACTGGCTCCTTCGCGGGCCTAGCCCTAATTCAGCTGCCTGGAATATTCCTACCGACTTACCCACACAAGAAATGAAGCATGCTTTTTCAAAACGCATTTTACAACTTTTATTTTGGAAACGTTAAGATTCAGAAAAAGAACGCTGTCTGCCGCACGGATCCACGGAGGGAACCTTTGGGGTTCCGGCTCATGTGGAAATAGCGAGCCTCCCGCGGAGGGCGGCGGCGGACTTCCTTCTGCCTCGCGGGCTGCGTCTCGCCTCGGTGCCAGTCAGCCTCAGCCCACTACGGAGCCCAGGCCGGCCCAGCCTCCGGCGGCTCCGCGCCCAGCCTCGCGCGCAGCTGCACCCTGCACCCGGCCCCCAGGCACGCTTCCCGCAGCGCGCCGGACAAAAGAGCACACAGAGGCTGGGCTGCGAGATGTAGACTCAGAGTAGATGGAGGCTTTACCAGTCACCTCTGCCTACCGCGGGCGGGACTACAGCTCCTTCTGCCGGTGAAAGCGATCGAAGAATCCCCGAGGCCTGTACAGCCTGCCCGCCAGCAGCTCCTCCTCCTCCTCCTCACGGGCTCTGGCCACCTCGTCCTTGACCAGGACGTCGTCCATCTCCTTCTCCGGGCCCTGGGGGAACAGCACGCTGCACAGGCGGCCGCCCACCCTCGGAGCGCCCCACCTGGGAACTCCCTGCCCCGCCGTGAGAGCCTCGCGCGCGACTCCGTGATCCCATCGGACAGCGGACATAGACATTCCCGGGGGCGTCTGTGCGTCAGTCCGCTGTGCGTGACGGTGACGCAGGCACGATGCCCGCCAGAGGGGGCCCATCCTAACGCGCAGGGTAGTCCTGCGGCGCCCGCAGCCGCCCAGCGGCCTCTGCGCAGGCGCAGCACGCAGGCCGCAGTACGCAGGCCTCACGGCCGCCCGGAAGCACGCGAGGGGGCGGGCCCAAGTGCAGTGAGACCACGCCCCGGCGGCCTCACTTCCCCCCGCAGGGCCCCGCCTTTTAAAGGTTTCACACCGCACACAGGCGACAGCTGTGGGATCTGGGGTTCAGATCCAACAGCAAGCGTCCTCATAAGAGATAGAAAGAAAATCCAACACACAGGGAAAAGAAAGCAGGCTACGTGACACAGGAGGTCAGGTTAGCCTGATGCAGCTGCAAGCCAGGGTGCACCGGGTGTAGACCCACCCATCTTTATTCTGTGCCAGTGAAACAGCTTGGACTTGCAGCCCCAGAGCCATGAGGCAGTATGTTCTGCCATCTTGAGCCCCCATGGAGCCCCCGGGGACAGCAGCCAGGGGACAGACATCCCTCCTGAGTCCCCACCCAGCCAGGAGACCTACAGGCTTATCCCGCAACAGTGAGGCTCAGGCAGCCTCATTCATAAAGCTCCAAGCCGGAGGCTGTGCAAAGCCGCAGGGATGGAGCATAGAAGTCCACCCTGGACACTCACAGAACCACGCGGCCTCATGCACTGGCAGGAACAAGTCCCACAGCACACTCTGAAAGGGGCAGTGGCACCGCTTGTCATCCCAGCACGCAGGGTGCTGAGGCAGGAGGATCACAAGTTCAAGGGATGGGCAACTTAGCAGATAATGTTAAAAATAATTAAAAATAAGAGTGTGGGGGACAGAGCTCAGTGCACAACCCCCATATTCAATCCCAGGACTGGAAGAAAATATTGCAAGGTCTCTGCTGCAGATGGCCAGTGTGATGGAGGCTCCCCCCATCTGTCACTATTAGGAGGTGGGGCCCCAGAGGCAGGGCTCGGAGGGAGGTCTGGGGGCCACGGGTGGGCGGCCTCAGAGGCTGGAGTGCTCATCCATTCCTGTCCCTCTCGCTCCCTGGCTCACCCTGGGGCAAGCAGTCCTGCTCTGCCACACCGACCCACTGTGGACCCTGGACTGGACCCTCCAGAGCCATAAGGTGAAGCCAGCCTTTCCTCCTCCTCCACTGGCCATCACATACTTGCTACAGTAAAGGAAAACTGGCTGCCCCAACCTCTCCATGGGCTCCCTGCGAGCCGGAAGGAGACTTCTGGAAACCTTGCGTTCCCAGCTGGCTGGGGGTTCACTCATCAAACCCCCAAGTCCTCTCCCAAATGACAGACTCTGCCATGGGGTTCACAGAAGCTGGCAGTGATAACAGGAAGTGTGCACAGCCTCCCTACCTTGGTTTGACCCCAGGTGGCCTTTCCGAAATTCTCCGCATACTGCTCGTCATCTGTGAGCAGGAAGTTGTCAAAGATGGTTCCTGACCTAACCTGCAGGGGAAAAGAAGGCTTTCATTGCTTTGGTTTGCTTTTGTTTTCTGGTTTGTTTGTTTGTTTGTTTGCGGAACCAGGGATTGAACTCAGGCCCTTGCGCTTGCCAGGGAAGTGCTTATTCCATTGAGCCATCTCCCCGGCCCCCTGTTTGTTTATTTTTTGAGACAGGGCCTTGTTACATAGTTCCAGCAGGGATTCAGCTCTCTACTATGTAGCCAAAGCTGGGCTCAAACTCCTGGCAATCATGTCACAGCCTCCTGAAGGGTGGGGTGACCTGCATGCACCACCACACCCATTTCAGCTTGTTTTAGAAGGGTCTAAGAGTCTTCCAAAGTCCTGCAGTGACAGGTGTGTGTCGCTGCCCCTGGCTAAATTCCGAATTATGAAAACAAAGCCAAGCGAAAGCTGAGTGACCTGCCACAGCTCAAGCCCAATGGCGCCGATGTTCTCAAATTCCGAGAGGTCATAATGAGTCAGGTAGCGAGTGCTCCTCATCTTCTCGTGCAGCCAGATGTCTTGATCAATTCCCTCTGGTTTCAGGCCATCCTGCAACAGCCAACCATGGGCTGGTCCAGGAGACGGGGACGGGGCAACCAGGGCACGTCCCAGGCATCAAAGGGGTGACACATACCTGGTACGGTGGCTTCTGCAGCATGGGCCCTGGCCAGTCCCCATCCAGCTCACTGTTCCAGTCGCTCGGCTTGCTGGCGCCAGCATCCAGGAAGTGCTTCTCCCAGTCCTGCAAGACAGGGTCAAGCACCAGGATTTGGATGAAGGCTCCGATGTTAAAAGATTGGGGCCCAGCGGAAAGAGGAAGGCAAAGGAGCTGGGACCTCAAAGGGGGCGTGGCTTATGGAGGAAGTGAGGTCCCTGGGTGCGGCCAGGAGGGGACCTGGATGCAGGCTGACCCTCCACTACCCTTGCACCCAAGGAAGGAAGTTGGAGCTGAGCCCAAGGAATCTCAGCAGCAGGCACGGGTGGTGATGGTGAAGCTTGTCCCGGGGGTGAGTGGAAAAGAGGCCGCCTGAGTCCACCTGCCTGCCACCATGTCCTGGACAACCAAAAAACCCAAAAGTATTATTTCTTTTAAAATAACAGTAAGAGGGCTGGTGAGATGGCTCAGTGGTCTAAAGCACCCACTTAGAACAAGCTTAGCAAAGCACAGGGCCCACGGTTCAATCCCCCAGCACCACATGCC